ATCCAGCCTACGAGAGCAAGCCAGCAGCATCACCCCGCCCCAGTTGGTGGAGGTGGACTTCAGCCTGTGTGCCGGGGGAAGAGGGGAAGGCAACGGAGCTGCAATGGCGGACGGACCGGCCGCGGCGGCGGCGGCGGGGGGAGGTGTACGGCAGCAACACCCGTCACCAACCATAACACCCAAGGCGAGTACCCCTCCCCAAGTCCCCCCAACTCCCCTCGTACGGGTTCGATACATTCCGCATTTCGTATAGACCCCTACCCAACTCACACACGTACACACACGTACACACACACGTACACACACACGTACACACACACGTACACACACACGTACACACACACGTACACACACACGTACACACACGTACACACACACGTACACACACACGTACACACACACGTACACACACACGTACACACACACGTACACACTCACGTACACACACACGTACACACACACGTACACACACACGTACACACACACGTACACACACACGTACATGCACGTACAACATGTTGAAACCCCCCTTTTCTCCCCCCCCCTACTCTCACATCACACCAGGTCCTGCTTCCGGAGGAGGAGATCGCGTACGGCCCCGCCTGCTGGCTGTGGGACTACCTGCGGCGCTGCGGGGCCTCCGGCTTCCTGTTGCCCCTGTCGGGGGGGGCGGACAGCTCCTCAGTGGCGGTCATCGTGGGGGCCATGTGCCAGGTAAGGAGGGGGTAAGGGGTAAGGAGGGGGGAAAGACGCACCAGGAACGAGTGAAGCTCATCCCCCCAGGTAAAGGGGGGGGGTTGTGTGGAAGGGAGGAGGGGCGGCACAAGTTTCATGTGTGAGCTTGTGTATGTGTCCGGCGGGTATGTACGGCATGGTGGGTGTCGTATGTTTTTGGTAACGCAGGCCTTGAATTCTGGATGATGTCGACATCCCCCCGCCCGCTTCCCCCTGACCTCTCAGCTGGTAGTTGAAGCTGTGAAGGCAGGTGACCCACGGGTCATTGCAGACGTACGGCGAGTGGCTGGGTACGGCCCTTCGGAGCCCCCTCCCTCCGACCCCAGGCAGTTGGCCGGCAGGCTGCTCAGTTGCGTGTATATGGGCACCGTCAACAGCTCCTATGCGACCCGGGAGCGGTGAGTCGAAGAAGAAAAGGGGGGGGCTTATGGAGGGGGTAGGGCAGGGTAGGGGGATCATATGATGCAAGAAACTCAGATAGAAAAGTGACCTGCTGCTGCCGGAAGTCGTCCTAAAAGTCCGAAACAAACGCCGAGTGAGTCTGAAGCGATGAAGTCATGGAAACACGTGGTTCCGGAATGTGAAGCCTTAGCCAATACACGTTACCGACAATTTTTTTTGTGTAGTCGTCGTGTAGGGCAGGGGGGAGGGGAGGGGGGGGGACGAAGCAAAGGACAGTGGAGGGGAGCGCGGGATTTCTGTGTATGTATGCATGTGCGTATGTATGTATGTATGTATGTATGTATGTGGGGCGTGGTCGTGAGGAGCTTTGAGAGGGGGGCAGGGCCGGGTGCAGGTGGGGGGGGTGAAGGGACGAGAAGTGCGGGGTGGGGTGGGGTGGGGTGGGCGGTGGGGAGGGAAACCCTTCCTGCCTAGCATCCATACACACACACATGCACACATGCACAACAAACACGATACACGTTGCCCCCGAACTTCACCTCGTTCTTCCCCTCCCCCTCCCCACCGCTAAACCCCTAATCAGTGCCCGGCTGCTTTGCGAGCAGATCGGCGCCTACCACCTGTCCTTGAGTATTGACACAGTGGTTGAGGCGGTTGTGGGTTTGTTCAGTACGGCAGTGACGGGTGGCAGGAGACCCGCCTTCAAGGCACATGGGGGGAGCACTGCGGAGAACCTGGCACTGCAGGTGTGCGTACGTATGTATGTGCGTACGTATGTATGTATGTATGTATGTATGTATGTATGTATGTATGTATGTATGTATGTATGTATGTATGTATGTATGTATGTATGTATGTATGTATGTATGAATGACTTAGATTACACTGTGGGCTGCGAGAGCCGGGGGCCGAAGCCGAAACACAGCGCAAGGGTCGGGAGCACACAGCACAAGTCGGTTAGTCTTGTGTGATCCCGACCCCGACTCAGACTGCCAACACTCTACGCAGCCACTCCGCAGCCACTCCATCCGGGGATGGCGCTGCATTGAATACACCACGAAGGGCTCTCAGGTCCCGCTAGAGCGAGTCCACAAGTCTCAGCTAGGGCAAAGTCAAAGGCTCTCTGAAACAACCCCCCAAAACACCACCAACGAAAACGGGATTCGAAGGGAAAACAAACAAACAAACAAAAATTCGTATGTATGTATGTTGTTACAGGGTGGTTAAGCTTCACCAGCGGCCCCCTTTCCCGAGGCAGTTCCCTGCTCTCCCCTGCTAGAGGGGCACCCTAATCCGTCACCCCATCCGACTTCAGAATGTATTCGTTGGGTTCAGCAACTCACCACCAGCATCCAACCAAATCTAGCGGATCAACGGCGCCACAACTTAGTTCCTGGTCAGCTCGCGAGTTGATATAATCACGTCCTACACCGTTCATAAGACGGGGGCCCACCTTCCAGTTCAACACCCCTCACACACGGAGAAGTCGGCAGGCGGATTTGAACCCGGGTGGGCCGGGAGCAGAAGTCAGACCTTATATTCTGTCAGCCACCTGCTTCAAAAATGCTTGCGCCACCGGGGAGTCGAACCCCGCTCTTTTGCTTGGAAGGCAAATATCCTACCGATGGACTAGTAGCGCACGGTTAAGGAACATGGGTTGCAGTATATGTAAAAGTGTTTATTTGCTAGATTTGTCCGTGTGTATGTTTGTGTGTGTGTGTGTGTGCTTGGGTTATGAGAAACTGGCTCACGGTGTATTATTGACGTGTGAGGCATGTGTCTGTCTGTCTGTTTAAATCTGTGCTGTGCTATGTTGCAGTTCGAATGTTCTTGTGTCCTCGTCGTGTGTCCCGACCACCGCACCGCAATCGCCGTCGCCCCTCGCTACAGCCGCCATTCGTTGCTGCTGCTACTGCTGCTGCTACCGCCACTCCCCAACCCCCCAACCCCCTCTCTCCTCCCCCCCCCCGCCATCCTCCTGCAGAACATTCAGGCGCGATTGCGCATGGTCCTGGCCTTCCTGCTCGCCCAGCTGCTGCCCTGGGCTCGGAGCTTGACAGGGCCCAGTGGGGGCGGGGGCGGGGGTTGGCTGCTGGTGCTGGGTTCCGCGAATGTGGACGAGTGCTTGCGGGGTGAGGGAGGGGAGGGGGGTGAGGGAAGGGAGGGGGGTGAGGGAGGGAGGGGGGTGAGGGAAGGGAGGGGGGTGAGGGAGGGAGGGGGAGGCGGGTGAGGGAGGGGAGGCGGGTGAGGGAAGGGAGGGGGGTGAGGGAAGGGAGGGGGGTGAGGGAAGGGAGGGGGTGAGGGAAGGGAGGGGGTGAGGGAAGGCAGGGGGGTGAGGGGGGTTCAAAGCAGCCATTGGCCCAAGGTGGGGAGTTGGACGGGGTGGTGGGGCTGTGTTTGCTACCGGCGGCGCGGCGCATATCCCCCCATCCACCCCCATCCACCCCCATCCACCCCCATCCATACACACAAACGCGCACA